TTTTTAGAGAAGGTGTATACTATCACCTTGGATAATGCTAGTAATAATGATGCTACTGCTAAATTTTTTAAAATTATTTTTCTGATAAAAGAAAAGTTGTATTTTTAGCGGCATTTATTTCATATTAGATATTGTTCTCACATATTAAACATTATAATGCAAATTGGTTTGAAAGAGATTTTGGACATTATTTATAGAATTAGAGAGTTTGTTAAATATTTGAAGAAGTCATCAATGAGGTTGAATAAGTTTGTTGAGATCTCTAAGCAGTTAGGAATTTCAGTATCAAAGGGTATGTGCAACGATATATCTATAAGGTGGAACTCAACATAATTTATGCAAGAATCTACTATTTTTTGTCAAAAAGCATTCAATCGCTATGTAGCTCGAGTGATTGCCATCAGATCTAGATTTGGTGAAGTATGAGAAAATCTGAAAATTTCTTGCAATTTTTAATCATATAACAACATTAATTTTTGGGTCTTGCATCCCACTCCAAACATTTTTTTTTACCTTAATTTATGCATATTAAGAATTCTTGTAGGATGAGTCAACTTCATCATAAGAGTATAATAGGAACATAGCTATTACCATGAGAATTAAATTTGATAAATATTGGGGTGAGTACAATCTAGTTATGTATGTAGTAGTTGTTTTAGACCCTCAGTTGAAAATGAGATTGATATATTTTACATTTCCCAAGTTACACACATCCATCAAATTAGATTCAGAAGTTCAACAAGTTGAAGATTTTATTTGAGAAATTTAGAATAAATATGAGAGTGATATTGCTAGCTCTAGTCCAACAAATGGTAATGAATCTTCACATTTGCTAAGTGATTTAATTTATCCTTAAAATTTTGATTGTATACTTGTCTTTACCGATATTGTTATTTTATCTGTTCTATTCAATGTTTAAAATTAGATTTATAAATATATCTTGAAGAGGGTTTATTTTTAGCTAATAATGAGAAATTTAATGTTCTTGAGTAGTGAATATTGAATACTCTCAAGTATCATTGTTTATCTGAAATGTCCAATGATATTTTATCAATTCCAATAATAATGGACACTTGAGAATATGCATTTAGCATTGGTGGGAGAGTTTTTTATGATTATATAAGTTCACCATCTACAAAGACGGTCAATACACTAATATTTACATCAAGTTGGATTAAATCTTTCATTGATATAAAAACTTCTTTGGAAATGTTTTTTAAGAATGAATTTTTTAAAGTATGTTTATTAGTTCATCTTATTACTAATTTTCATATGTCTTTCCTACCAACTATAACTATAGAAGTGAAACAACTCGATGTGAATTTACTAGAGTAATTAGAGGGAAGATTGTCTCATGCTCTTTAGTTGGTATCTGTTGAATGACTTAGTTGTCTAAGAATGAATATTTTTTTTCTTCTGATTTTTCATTGCATGAACATTATTTTAATATTAAATAATTATTCTTCAATTGATGGTTTGTTCAACCATTTTTGTTGTACTTAATTTTTAATTAGATGATTAGTTATGTTGTTGGTCGGTTATCAGGCTAGCCTTTCTTTAACGGTTCTTTGGTTTGGCTATTTTGGTTTAATTTGTTAAAGTTGAAAAATATTAGTTGGCTCTTTAGCTGGTTTTGTTGGTTCCCAGAGTTAGCTACTTGGTTGTCTTTTCTAGTTTGTTTGATTGTCTGATTATTTTTTCTTTTGGTACGTTAGTTGGGCCGACTAGTTATTTTGGTTGGCTAGTTTTATTGGTCCTTGGGTTAGCTGTCTTTTCTGGTGAATATCTAGGTTGAATGAGTTTTCTAGTTAGCCTAGTTGGCTATCTTTTTTATTGTTATTTGGGTTTGTTGTCTTTTCTAGTTAGCTTGTTCAGTTGCATTTCTTTGTATGAATTAGAGAAGTGATCTCGATAAGAATCAGCTTGACACAGGCCCACGATAGCTCATAACCTATTCGAAAACCTAGAAATTTGCCAACATCAAAATTGAGTTTACTCAAGTAACAAATCATACTCTATTTACAGCTACTTGACATGGGTCAATCCAATGCCAACATTCAACAAAGTTGTGCAAAAACAAAAAAAATGAATTCACCCAACGATCAACTCAAGCCCTATTCACATCTAATTTGGTGAACGAGTGCGACGCCCTACTGACTCATCAATTTGTCCCATCGTTCAATTATCGTAGGATGTTTAAGCAAATTGTGCTTAAAATAAATAATATTCTCTTAAAAAATAAATTAAGCAAATACATAACAAAGAAAAGGACAAAAAAATCAAGAGAGAGCTGCAACTTTTTATTCATTTGGACAGCTTCAGTTATTTGTAAGATAATTATAGACTAATTGTAAGCAATAGTTTTGTTTCCTAGATGTAGAGTATTATAAACTCTTACTAAAGGAAATTTCTCAATAACATTATGACAACAATCACACTCTAAATAGTTATAAAATGATAACTTTCATCATATATATTACTAAAAAAAGCAATAAATAATAGCCAATAGCATTCTAGTTGGCATGCCGCCCAAAAATTAAAATGATCAAACATCAATCTCGATATATTTTAGATAATATAACTTATAAGATTCAATTTTAGAATCATTTGAATTCTAATTTTAATAAATTTATAATAAAATTAAGTATCTCAATAATACAAGCTCAATGACATTGAAATTGATTCAATTCAATTTCAAAATGAAAAGTAACATGAAGCTTCAAGACATTCATTGAAATCTCAAATGATCTCCAAATCTGACATGCTTACAATTAAATCAAACGCTTCGATGGGAGAAATCCAACAAGTCTAATATCTCTTAATTTGGATGTCAATAAGATGCTTAAATGCTAAAATTATATACAATCAAATGAATTAACACATCATATTTTATGTGGTGTTTCAAAATTTTATATAAATTTATTTAAAAATATCTTACAAAACTCTCTAAATATGACTATGTCTGATATTAGGGATGAGAAAGCTAAGAGCTAAATTCACACCATTTAGAGAGTTTGAAACCAATAACTACATTTAATCATCACCAATCATAACTGGTGGCTATTATCATTGAACAATTATTTTGTAGCTACATTGGCCTACCTACAATCCCAAGGTTGTCCTCTGGCCCTTTTTAAAACTATTGTTGCCTAATCATTTAATTATGATTGATTTTGGTGTTATTAACTTTTGATGTAATAATTGAAAGACTGACAAATACTTTATATATATATATATATATA